TCTTATCCCATTGCTTAGCAATTTCTTGTCATGTCGTCTATTTATCAGAACCCGGACCCTCTGTGACTTCCGGTTGGTCATGCTCGGGATTTTTTGAAAATCATCCAAAGCTAGAACCCTACCTAAATCCTTCCTTAATCTAGGCACTATGTTCCGATGAAACGAAATACTCCCCATTAAATTATTTACGAAAAATAGCAGCCTTCTACTTATATTTTCAATTAATTTCCGATTACGATTCCGGTGAAACGTTTGGGAATGTACCACGTTCACGGTCCGACTTTGGAAATGATCCTGTAGACAATGGACTCCGGACTAGGTTCGTTTCAATAAGTCTTCCTACCAATATGACCATGTCGCGAAAACAAGGTCAAAAAACCTCAATAAAGCTGTTTACTGCTAGTCGAAAGAAAAGGGCCGTTGGAAATAACAATGAACATGTAAAGTGCAGAGTAAGAGAAAATGTGATATTTGAGTGATCGGATAATTTAAACTTATAGAACTAATAAATTAATTTAATTATGAAAGTCATTAAGTAAAAAAAAATCAAAATAGTATAATATATTATAAATGCATCCATAATGATTATGATCATAGACATAATTTGCATGTAATTCAAAGTCAGACAAGAGACGTAACAGTTATCAGAGTTAGAAAACTCTGACAAGAGACACGATTAAATCCTATTATTATGCGACTCCTGCTGCCAGACGACAACACTGTGACTTAAAAGGTTTTCTCTAGGCCCACCTGACTCCTGTAGACGATCCGCAAACTGGTTGGCCTCACGAGCTTGTTCCTCTGATTCATGCAGTGCCTCTTCAAGTTGATCTGAGAGCCGAGACAAGGCCACGCGAAGCCCCATTGCTTCGGAATTCGAGGTCAGCGTCGATTCGTGTTCTGCTGGTGAGTTGGAACTCCTAGACAAACCGACTCTACCTGTCGCCCTCTCTTCACCAATGCTACTGCCATCATAATTACTAGAAGTGCAATTGATAGTTGTTGATCGGGCTCCACAATTGCTGCATAAGCCCGAGCCTAGTTCTGAAGGGTTCACCGGAATCACTGTCGAGTTGGATGCCAGACGTGCAGTCGGAGCCAGGTAAAGGCCGGAAAACAAGGCTAGACGGTCAGGATGTGGATTTGAGAAGGTGAATCCTACAATGACAACATGATGATTAGAGGTAATTGTATTTCATTCGAATGCCAATAATACAATACAGCTCATTTGATCGTTGCAAAAGAAGTCTTAGGAACTGGAAAAATGTGTCCTATTCTTGATTTCACTTAAGGCTAACTATGTTTGGTTGGAAGAAATGTTTAAACTAAATACAAAAAGATGCA